AAAAAAGTATCATATTAAATAAATGTACCTGTATAAAATTCCAAAGTTCAATTTTTTTACTGTCATCCACTGAAGGCCAATTTTTAATAACAACTGGCACGTACTCCCGCACTATGGCTCCGGCTATGCTGACAAATTTATCAGAGTTATGGCCAACTACTTGCCCGAATTCATTGAATTCAAGCTCCATTTTCTGATAGTTATTTTCAGCAACCATTTTCAAATGAGTTGGACCTCTTTTCTTTTTTGTAGCATCTACACTTGTCGAAGTCATGTTTTGATCACCAGTAATTGGAGTAGACATGGTATCTCTAGGTTCACTAGAAGGTCGTAGTCTTTTATTTGTCTCCCGAATTGCAACAGCAATCGCAGCGCTTCGTCTTTTAGAACTCTTGGAAGCTTGCTTATTTGACTTAAACAATGCAACATGCAAACATAGCATAAAGTTAATTATTCTCGAAAGTTACCATCTTAAGAAGTGTATTGAAACACACTCACCTGAGCTTTATCCATCATGCGTATATTTAATAATATCACCTAGTTCCAAAAAGCCACTTGAGAAAGTACGAATCTGCAAACAATAAGAGAAAGAGAATGATATTCAAAGTTCTACAAACTTCCGTGCTCCATCTCTGTATTGTTCAGAAAATCTACAACAACAATTGTATGATCATTTTATATTATTGTTAAATTTTGAAACTAGATTTATAAGATTTTGTTTTAGACAGTAACCTTGATAATTGCAGCTATTCTTTGTCCATTATGATACTATCAAACATTGAACAGCAACAATTCAAATTGTGAACTAAATGACCCCTTGTTTCGATCTATTATAGGCCAATCACAAAGCCCTATGCTTCGGTTTATTATAAGCAGCTATTCGTCCAGCATCATCATCAACTAAATGGCCCCTTGTTCACTTGACCGACTTCCTATAATAATTTCAAAACACCCCAGTGAAGATATGTTAAACAAATAAAGTGGGATTTTAAAATTACTAATGAACTTACAGTAAGAAATAGATGATCCAAAATTTAAAACTTTCAAAGGATTTAGATTAGAATTAATTAAATTGTGAATTTGTAACAACACTCGTTTAATGTCCAAAGTTTTTATAAATTTACATAAAACAATGTTTTACAAAAATGTATGTCATGTTTTTCGGGTGAGTGGATTGCTCAAGTTTATGCTAAAAATAACGGGTATATTTTGATCCACACACAACTTTGCCTACATCCATACTCCAAAATACCATATATGAGACTCGAATCTCTGATATTATCAGCCCAATGAATTCTTGCTATTAAAATGCGCAAGTGCAATCAAAGGTATTCTATTCTGCACAAGGAACAGAAGTCTCGTACTAAGGCTGAGATGCCTCACATTTACAGACATGTACATACTTATATGAGTATACGTATAAAAGCAACACTTCATGAAGCTTACAATGCAAAATCACAGCATTAATATATGTCTCACCAGTTCCATTCTAGGATCATTGATACCTAGTGTCCCAGCATCACTTATTAGGGCTACATTTCACAATCATGTTATCTCTTGATAACTATTTGTTCTTGTTGAGACTCATTAAATTTGTGATAACTCAACTGAAAATCTAAATCACAAAATCAGAAAAAAAAAAAAATAAATAATAATAATAAAAGAATCTCACACAACACATATTCTATTATCTTAGGCAGTGGGTCACTTCAATGGTTGTGCAATAAATTGATTGTAAGATTTTAAATCATAATGTCGAGAACAAGTTCCCATATTCCTTCTTAGGCAACATATATAAATAGAATGGTTTAAGGAATATCCATGTATATATGATGCATACAACAAAGACAAAGATGCACAAGTTAAGAGAAACTTCATTTTTCCTCAATCTACCAACTGAATTTCAGCTCTCTTTTCACTACCACATTCCTTATTCCCTATTTAAAAATGCACAAGTTAAAAGAAACTTCATTTTTCCTCAATCTAGGGACGTCTCTGCAAGGGATATTTTGGAAAGAAAAAGTCCTAATAAGCTAACTTGGAGAATCAATCTTTCTTGCCTAACAATAAATCTTTCTTGGTCAAACACTGCAGGGGATTCACCAGGTGGAGGATATAAAATGCATAAACAATAAAATTAACTTACAGTCACAGTCCGAACAACACCACCACTAGCACCATCACGAGCAATGGCAAGACCACTAATTGCTGCATGGACAAATGAAGACACAAAATTAGCAATCAAGAAAATAATTTGGATATCCAATAAAATTCTCCAAAATCTAGATGAAACTATTAACTTGAAATGGGTACACATAGAAGTTAAAATTTTAACTAGAATCAAACTTTTTCGAATCGAAACCAAGAACCGATCAGTCCCCAACAGTTCTTCATTCTTAGTCTGAAACCGAGGAAGAACCAGCATCAATTACCTATTTGGAAGAGAGTTCATGGTGGCGGGGAGCGGCAGGAGAGGAAGTGATAGTGAGAGATGGGGAAAACACTATAGGGCTGGATTAGGTTTTTTACAAACTAAAAGGGTGCGGGTTGGGTCCGGGTGCAGGTCGGGTCCGGGTCAAGTTTTGTATGATTTATATTTTAATGTCGAAATTAACGACAACGTTCAAAGAACGTTGCTAAAGACACTTAACCGTTTAGTGAACGTTGCTAAAACCAACCAACGGCAACGTTCGATGAACGTTGCTAAAAAATATACAGCAACGTGCATTGCCCATTGCCTAAACTTGTTAACGGCAATGTTCTAAAACATCTACAGCAACGTGCATTGCACGTTGCCAAAAAAAAAAAACAACAATGGCCTTTGAACATTGTGAAATGGTGTATTAGCAACAACCACTCAAAAAACGTTGCTAAATCTTCATTTTCTCAACCAATGGCAACATGCATTTGCTGAATGTTATAATAAACCCCTTTTAGCAACATACAATTGGTGAATGTTGCCATTTATATGTTGCCAAATGCCATTTTTCTTGTAGTGATGTTGTGTAGCACCATGGTGTGTTTAGACAAAGAGATCCTTATTCAGATGGGGATAGGATCGATAGTCCGAAAAAAAAAAAAAACAATGCACTCAGCAGTCATTACGTTTGGTACAAAATATAAATTTTACTGAAATAATTGAGGAAGTTTCATTTTTTCCTTATGTGGTCATACAATATTATCTTATTCATGTTACAAAACACGTTCACTAGGTGGGGCAGTTACAATATGGGATTGGAAATAGTACTCTAAAATTTCTAGACTCATCCAATGTGCATGCTAATGTACCCCATTTAAAATTAGAAAATCACATTAATACACCTCTTACGGCTTGATGGAGAATCTAAATTACCCATATGGTTTTATCTAGCAGGTGGTTTTGATCGATGACTGAATTTGTCTAATTAGAACAGAGATGCAGTTTGTCCATTGAGGTCTCTCCGTTCTCCCTGATAAGTAATTATGATTCTGATTGTAATTTAAACTTGTTTAGTTTGTTGTGGTGATTAACCTGAGAGATTTGTTACCGTTGAGATGTTATTTTAATTAAAACTTAGTTAGACTAATAATGACATCGATCAGAGGAAATTGTTAGTACATGGACACTAATTATATTTTACACTTGGTTAGTCTCTTAGGGTGAGCGAGCTGAAAGGCATTGAGCATAAAAGCTCGTCATTTATAATAAATGGGTGAGCGAGCTGAAAGGCATTGAGCATAAAGGCTCATCATTTATAATAAACTTATCGCTGTTATAAAATGAGAGGAAAAGAGAATAGAGAAAACTTAAAGAGAATGGAGAAAACTTAATAAACTTTTTTGTGTGTATTATTGAAAACCAAAGTCCTATATTTATAGGTAAGAATCAGGGATACAATGGTAATAATTTCTAGGGCTATAGGGGTACAAATATCATTCACCAATAAACTTTAATGGACTTTTCATTTACAACACACCCCCTTGAATGACATATTACAAAATATCTGTCTCGTTAAAACCTTGTTTGATAAAAACTCAATGGGAAAAAAATCAAACGAAGGAAAAAGAGTACAGTTATTTTGGAGTATTAAGATTAAATGCTGCCTCATTAAAACCTTGCTAGGAAAACCCAATAGGACAAAACCTAAGCGAAGGAAAAAGAGTACAGCTACTCCCCCTAATGTTGATCACTGCAAATCTTTGAGTCGACGCATTCCAATCTCATAAACTAATTTCTTGAATGCAGATGTTGGCAGCGCTTTTGTGAATAGATCGGCCACATTGTAACTTGAGCGAATTTGTTGAATATCAATGTCACCATTCTTCTGAAGTTCATGTGTATGAAAGAATTTTGGAGAAATATGCTTCGTCCTGTCGCCTTTGATATAGCCTCCCTTGAGTTGTGCGATACAAGCTGCATTATCTTCAAACAAAATTGTTGGACTATCTTTTGTTGAAGTCAATCCACATGATGATTGGATATGATGGGTCATATTCCTCAACCATACACATTCTCGCCCTGCTTCATGGATTGCAATAATCTCAGAATGATTTGAGGATGTTACTGTCAAGGATTGCTTCACAAATCTCCATGATATAGTTGTTCCTCCACATGTAAACACATATCATGTTTGTGATTTAGCTTTATGTGGATCGGAGAGATAACCTACAGCTGCATATCCCACAAAAGCAGATCCTGACTTTTGAGAATAAAATAGTCCCATATCAATAGTACCTTTTAGGTAACAAAAAATATGTTTAACACCATTCCAATGCCTTTGAGTTGGTGTAGAGCTATATCTTGCAAGGAGATTTACAGAAAAAGCTATGTCCGGTCGAGTGCAATTTGCAAGATAAGTTAATGCTCCAATTGTACTAAGGTATGGTACTTCAGGACCAAGAATCTTTTCTCCATCTTCAAGTGGACGAAATGGATCTTTTTTCACATCAAGTGATCGAACAACCATAGGTGATGGCAATGGATGTGCATTATCCATATAAAAGCGTTTCAAGACTTTTTCTGTATAAGTAGGTTGATGAACAAATAATCCCTTTGGAAAATGTTCAATTTGTAATCCAAGACAAAATTTGATTTTTCCCAAATCTTTCATCTCAAATTCATTTCTCAAATAATCTGCAGGTTTTGTTGGGCTCTTCAGGAGTTCCAATTAAATTTAAATCATCAACATAAACTACCACAATTGCAAATCTAATATTTGTTTTCTTTACGAAAACACATGGGCAGATATCATCATTTTTATAACCCTCTTTCAGTAAATATTCGCTAAGGCGATTATACCACATGCGTCCAGATTGTTTCAATCCATATAATGATTTTTGCAATTTAATTGAGAACATAGTTCTCGGACATGTATCATTTATTCCTAACACCTTAAGTCCTTCAGGGACTTTCATATATATGTCACTATCAAGTGAACCATATAGGTAGGCAGTTACTACATCCATAAGGCGCATATCGAGCCCTTGTGACACGGTCAAACTAATTAAGAACCTAAAAGTGATGGTATCCATTACGGGAGAATATGTTTCCTCATAATCAATTCCCGGTCTTTGGAAGAAACCTTGAGCCACTAGTCGA